ATATTTTACAAAATATGTTGCAAACAAATACATCCAGGGCAGCTGTACAGGCTTGTGTTTTTTTTGTTTGTTTGTTTATGTTTTACTATAGTTATTTAAGGGCCCAGGGCAACATCTTAAACATCTTGAAAATTGCTGATACTCTAGAGCACGGGTCCCCAACCTCCTGGCCTCAGACCTGTACCGCTCCAGGCCTGTAAGGAACAGGGCCGTACAGCAAGAGGGGAGCCTGAATGTAATGTGCTTGAATCATCCCCAAACCATGCCCTCAACCCCCCATCTGTGGAAAAATTGTCTTCCACAAAACTGGTTCCTGGTACCAGAAAGGTCGGGGACCACTGCTCTGGAGAACACTAGAGCATCTTATACCAACAATTAAGTGCTCCAGTTAAAAATAACACACATTGTTTCTGCTCACAGCTCACTGACCACTACTGGTCACTTTTCCACACACAAGTGGGCCAAGAATTGCAAACCTTCTATATGCCTAGGAGGCAGAGATATTTCATGAGCTAAATATTGAATGACTATCAAACTGAATATCAACTTCAACTAGTGGCTTGCTCCCTTCAGGGTCATAATAATAGTGCCAGACATCACATCCAGAGAAAAAGCAATATCACACTACTTTTTAAATATATTTTATTGATTATGCTATTACAGTTGTCCCATTACCTCCCCCTTAATTCCCCTCCACCCTGCACACCCTCTCCCACTCACATTCCCCCCCTTTAGTTCATGTCCATGGGTCATAAGTTCTTTAGCTTCTACATTTCCCATACTATTCTTGCCCTCCCCCTATCTATTTTCTACCTACCATCTATGCTCCTTATTCTCTGTACCTTTTCCCCCTCTCTCCACCTCCCACTCCCCTGTTGCTAATCCTACATGTGATCTCCATTTCTGTGATTCTGTTCCTGTTCTAGTTGTTTGCTTAGTTTGTTTTTGGTTTTGTTTTAGGTATGGTTGTTCATAATTGTGAGTTTGCTGTCATTTTACTATACTTGTTTTTTATCTTCTTTTTCTTAGATAAGTCCATTTAACATTTCATAAAATAAGGCTTGGTGATGATGAACTCCTTTAACTTGACCTTATCTGAGAAGCACTTTATCTGCCCTTCCATTCTAAATGAAAGCCTTGCTGGATAGAGCAATCTGGGATGTAGGTTCTTGCCTTTCATGACTTTGAATACTTCTTTCCAGCCCCTCCTTGCCTGTAAGGTCTCTTTTGAGAAATCAGCTGACAGTCTGATAGGAACTCCTTTGTAGGTGACTGTCTCCTTATCTCTGGCTGCTTCTAGGATTCTCTCCTTCATTTTAATCTTGGGTAATGTAATTATGATGTGCCTTGGTGTGTTCCTCCTTGGGTGCAACTTCTTTGGGACTCTCTGAGCTTCTTGGACTTCCTGGAAGTCTATTTCCTTTGCCAGATGGGGAAGTTCTCCTTTATTATTTGTTCAAATAACTTTTCCACTTGTTGCTCTTCCTCTTCTCCTTCTAGTACCCCTATAATTCAGATGTTGGAAGGTTTAAAGATGTCCTGGGGGTTCCTAAGCCTCTCCTCATTTTTTTGAATTCTTGTTTCTTCATTCTTTTCTGTTTGGTTATTCCTGTCTTCCTTCTGGTCCATTCCATTGATGTGATCCCCAGCTTTCATTCCATCACTATTGGTTCCCTGTGCATTTTTCTTCATTTCACTTAGTGTAACCTTCATTTTTTCATCTAATTTGTGACCAAAATCAACCAATTCTGTGAGCATCCTGATCACCAGTGCTTTGAACTGTGCATCTGATAGGTTGGCTATCTTGTAATCACTTAAAAGTATTGGTTGTGGGGCTATCACTTCTGTTTGAGCCATCTGTTTTTTTTCCTTTGGACTGGTTGTGCCTGTTACATATGAGGGGCGGAGCCTTAGGTGTTCACCAGGGCGGGGCACCACAGTTGCTGGGTTGTGATGATGTAGGTGGGGGCGGGGTCCAAGAGGGAACAATGGTGCTTGCTCTGTTCTTCGTCGGACCTCAGTCCCTTCTGCCGCTTCCCCTGAGCAAACTGGGCCCCTCTGGTGCCAACTGCCATGTGGGTGGGCTTGTGCACCCTGTGGGACTTTCTAATGACCTCTCCTGTGAGGCTGGGAGTCCCTCCCTGCGCCTCAATCCCCACAGATGTCCTCAATCAGTGCCCCAAGGCTCTATTTCCCAGCGCTGTGATCCTGGGTTGCACGCACTGCCTTTACAATCGCCACCTCACTGAATCTGCCAGTTGCCACCCCTCAGCCGGGGTCTGCCAGCTGCCGCTTGCTTGCTCAGGGTCCGCCCGCTGCGGTCTTGTGCACCCCGGATGCCTTACGCCCTCGGTCCCAATGCTCTCTGCTCTCCACACTGCTCTGTGCCCAGCTGCCCAACTCTGCCCCTCCTACCAGTCTGGATGAACGTGTCTATTTTAACTCCTTGGTTGTCCAACTTCCATACAGTTCAATTTTCTGTCAGTTCTGGTTGTTATTCTGTTTCTAAATTGTTGTTGTCCCTATCTTGGTTGTGCAAGGAGGCACAGTGTGCCTACCTATGCCTCCGTCTTGGCCGGAAGTCCAATATCACACTATTCTTAACAGCAAGGACATTTTCCCCAGAAGCCCCTCACAGACCTCCTTCACTTAGTATTGGACAGAACTGTATCACATGTCCATTCTTCACCAATCACTGGCCAGAGGAGTGGGATAATCATGTTTGGCTCAGCCCAATCAGGATCCGCCTTCTAGAGCCAGGGATCAGGTTACTTTCCCTTGAAGCTCAGGGCTGTCTAAAGTTTGTGCAAGTGTTGAAAAAGATATTTCTCCGGCACTTTTTGGTAAGTTAAATTCACAAAGGAAGGATGCTTTAGTAATGTCAATAACTCAGGTATTAAAACCAAGAGAACTGGGGAAATGGATGTAGGCAGGAACCCAATCTGGGTTGCTAAAACAATTATCGCAAAGGTTCTGAAGTGGGTACCTGTCTGGTGAGTTTCCAAAACAGGAAGGAGGCCAGTGTGACTACCACCAACTGACTTAGGGAGTGAATTGTAGGCAATGAGGTAAGATAAATAATGTCCTTCTTTTGAGACCTCATATATAGGTCATTGTAAGAACTTTAGCTTTTATTTTGGTGAAGGTAAAAAGTAAGAGGAGGTTTTTGAGTGGAGGATTACATCTGTCTTAGTTTTAAAAGGATCATTCTTTTCTGTGGAGCTTTGTTAGGAGGCAATTGCAGCAATTCTAGATGATGGTGCCCTGGGCCAAGGTGTTAGCAATAGACTAGCTCTGTATGTCTGAATACATTTTAAAGATAGAGCTGACAGCTTATGATTTGATGTGGGGTGGGTACATGAATAAAAAAATCAAGGATCTTTTGGCCAGAGCTAAAGAATGTGGTTAACATTAAGAAATGTGAAAGGGCCTGGCTGGTGTAGCTCAGTGGACTGAGTGAGGGCCTGCCAACCAAAGTGTCGCCAGTTCAATTTCCGGTCAGGGCAGATGCCTGGGTCGCAGGCCATGTCCCCAGTAGGGGGTGCACAAGAGGCAACCACACATTGAGGTTTCACTCCCCCTTTCTCCCTCCCTCCCTCTCTTCCCCTCTCTCTAAAAATAAATACATTCTTAAAAAAAATAATGTGAAAGGCAGTGTATAGACAATTTGGAAGAGTGGGAGTTCCGTTTTGGGTAGGTAAGTTTGAGATCTTGTGAGACTTCCAAGTGGAGATTATTTTAAAAATTTAAAGAAGGCACTTGGGCATAATACATATAATATTTTAAGCTTTACCTTTAAAATTTGCTGGCCCTGCCAAAGAATATTTCCATCTCAGAAAAACCATTGAAAGAACAGTTCTAAGACAAATTGTGATTCATATGTAAACAATGAAAGTTAATCTACCTTCCTCTAGTTGATAATGCAGTGATATAGTTTTGAGTACTTACTGAGAAAAGCATCACAGCATAGTAGTGCATAGATTTTAGAGCCAGTTTAACTGAATTTAAATCCTTTTTTGCATTTATTGTGTGACTTTGGGTATATTACTTCACCTCTCTGCATCTCAATTTTGTCATCTATATAATAATGAAAATCATGCCAACCTAAAAGCGATTGTTAGTTTATAGAGTTTTTGGTCTGGCCATTTGGGTCTCTACTGTGTTAGAGAGGCTTTCCTCATTTGTTGATGCTGGTCTGTCTGTTCATATTTGAATATATTCATATAAACTTCTCTATATTTTGTAGGAAAATTTTCTGCCATTTTCTTATTTTCTTTAAAGTTGGTGAATTAATGGGTGGGACAGAAAGTGGAGTCCAGCATTCAATTGTTTCATCTGGTTTGCTCATTGCAACCTAGAAGATTCTTTGCTGGTAAGTGGTTAACACTTTCATTGCTTTTGTAGTTTTCAAAGAGGAAATATTTCTATTGCTTTTATGAATTAAAAAAACTAATTGGTGTTCTTTTTAAGAACATTCAAACGCTACAAAAATACACAAACTAGAAAATTAAAGACTCCATAATCCCATTCCCATATAATTATCGCAGACAGTACGAGATTTAGTCAGAGATATGTAATACATGAAAAAAGGAGACAATTATTAACTCTAGGAAAATGTAATCACAGCATACTTATTAGTTCAGAAGTGAACAGTATTTACATAGTCATAAGTAAAAAACAATAAATATGGACTGAACCAAAGATTTTAACATAGCCAAATTGAGAAGATGGAGTAGGGCACTGGGAGTATAGGAGATTGAAAAATCCTCCTTTATCCCTTTAGGCATTAAGTGGCAAAAATATATGTATTTGATTTAGAAAAGTATATGTACATATGGAATAAAAAAGTTAGCTGCTCCCGGGGAATGGAACTTGGTGACAAAGGCAGTGCAATTAATACTGTGGTTGTAAGCCTTCTTGAACTACTTCATATTTTGTGGAAAATTACAATGTATCCAGATTGGGATAAAGCTAAAGACACAAGGTGACAACCACCCATATTTAAAACAAAAATTTTCTTAAAAATTTTATTAACATTTAATAACAGTAAATCATTCAACTTTCCCCCAGCCTTTATGAAGTTTCTGCTTTACAGATGAAATTTATTTTGAAAGTCCTAATGTAATCAGATGAACAAACTTTTATAATGAACTTTCAAACAAATCTTTTTTGTTTTTTAATTGATTTTACAGAGAGAGAGGGAGAAGGAGAGAGAGAGAAGGGGAGAGGAGGAGAGGGGGAGAGAGGAATAGGGAGAGAACGATCTGCTGTTCCACTCATTTACACATTCATTGGTTGCTCCTTGTATTTGCCTTGACGGGAGACGGAGCCTCAACCTTGGCATATCAGGTCCATGCTCTAACCAACTGAGTTAGCTGGCCAGGGTAATTCAAACAAATCTTTTTAGTAATGCCTTATTTCTTGGATAACAATAACATTACTATGATAGTATTTTTAGTTTTTATTCAAATAAACTGTTTTCAAGGTTAGTGGTTATTAGCAAATCTTTATTTTTAATACTCTGCTAAGGCAAGATAGATACATGATCCTTTGAAATTTCTTTACAATTTCCTATGAAATACTTTAAAGTAAAAAATTATTTGGTATTAAGTATCCTTATACTTAAATTCTAAGAGTGATCTTTAGTCCCAACTAAACTTGGTACTCCAAGATTAAAAAAATTAATGATATTTACATAATAAATATAATTTTAATCACTAAGTTCTTCCTCATCACTGAAATATGTGCTTTTCTTTATCCTTGGGCGTCTTGAATCATCAGATGTTGACGGACCCCCTGAACTGGGTTTCCATTTTTTTTGTTCTTCTTCAATTTTGGCTTGCTGTGAGTCAGAAAACAAGACAAAACAAAACCAGGAACTGGTTTATTATTACTTGTGGTACATTAACTCAAAACAATGCAAAAACACACCAGAAGTGCCAACACTCTCCACTCATGCAAACAATTTTACTCCATCAGGATACTCCTCCCTCACTCCCGAGTTATATCCCAGTTTCACTATGTTACTAAAATCACTTTAGTCCGTTTCTACTAATTATCAGGCACAGGAAATGGTGCCTACTTTCCATTTCTGCTAGAGGTGGGCATATTTTATAAAATACATTAGTTAACTAAAAGCAAAACTAAATTGACATATACATTGACCATGTATCAACTACATTAAAACAAAATATCTAGTTGCATAAATATTAAGAGATTATGTGCCCTTCTTTAAAAAATGTTTCATATATTTGAATGAGGGCCTTTAATAGTCAAAAATATGTTTCTGGTTTTGTTTTGAGGTGAAGCTTTTCAAAGATATATTTTTTAAAATATCTTTTCAATATCTTTAATAAAATCTGTTCTGTTGGGCTAAACTCACTTTAATCAAATAGTTCTGCTCAATTCTATAATGAAAACAAATTAAGATATTGAAAGTGCTGTGGGGCCCTTAAAGTCTAGAAAGAGCCAAGAGGAAAATCTACTATCACACTGTTCTAAAGAACTTATAGAAGCAGCCTGACTCCTGAAGTTTAGGAGGTGAAGGGGAAATGATAAATAGAGCAAGCAAGGGATAGAAAACTGTTAACTCAAGGCAGCTATGGCATGGTGCTTTTAAAAAAATTACTTAGGCCCCGGTTGGTGTGGCTCAGTGGATTGAGTGCTGGCCTGCGAACCAAAGGGTCATGGGTTCAATTCCCAGTCAGGGCACGTGCTTGGGTTGTGGGCCAGGTCCCCAGTAGGGGGTGCTCGAGAACACATTGATACTTCTCTCCCTCTCTTTCTCCCTCCTTTTCGCTCTGTCTTAAATAAATAAAATCTTTAAAAAAGTAAAGAACTACTTAGTACCTGGAAAGCTATGGCCTGACTGAGGCTGTCAAGAGCAGGATCTTCCCCTTCATCTTCACTTTCTTCTACTTCGTCACTAAATTTAAAAAAAAATCAGAATCACTTAACCAATAGTAAAATGACAGAAGCAACACTATAATTTATTTAGTAAGAGTGGATATACATACATTTCTTCTTCTGGTTCAGGAATTTTCTTTTTCTTCTTTTTCTCTTTCTTCTTTGGAGGTTCACGTTCTCCAAGCATATTTTTAGGACAGGCGTAACTTAAGTGTCCACTTTCCTTTTGTTTCCCATTGAAAAGAAGAGGAAAAATAGTATATGTTATTATTAACAGAAAGTTGCCAAGTACTCTAACACTAAAAGGTTTTACAACTTAAAAAAATATTGTCACACTGGGAACATACATGAAGAAGTTAACAAAACCCATAATATTTATGAGGAGATAATAACTCCTAATAAGCTACTTTAACAATAACTATTTTACAAGTCTTCTAAAAGTATTCTTCCTTCAAACATTTGAAATATCAAGATTCAAGACAGAAAATAATTCAAAATTTAAATGGACTACCGACTTTAAATGTAAAAAATTTAAGTTATTGTTTGATAAGATTGGGACAAAAATATCCCTAACTCCCAACATGTTGCTTAACATTCTGTTTTAAGAACGGAAAAATTAAAGTTTTCCTCACTTTTCCTATTAATTTCATTTTGCTTCTTTCACATTTAGATTATACCTGTGCTGTTCAATTATGGTAGCCACTGGCCATAATTCTTTTGTGAGAACCTGTCTGAGTTGATATGCACTATAAGGGCAAAATACATATATGATTTTGAAGACAATATGAAAAAGAGTAAAATATCTTAATTTTTAAAATGATTAATTAGCAATCATTCAAATGATAATATTTTAAATACATACTGGGTTAAGTAAAAGATATAAAGTTTACTTGTTTCTTTTTTAATGTGGCTACTAGAAAATTTAAAATTTTTACATTTGTCACATTTGTGACTTGCATTATATACATATTTGACAGTGCTGGACTAGCCATAAAATTATAATGAGCCATAACATTGAGCTGTAGAACATAAAACAATGCACTATGTAATCTGCACATTAGCTCACTAAAATGTGTTTAAGAATATGTGCGAGTAAGGTGTAATTGAACCAAGAGGGAGAGACTGAGCCAGGATGAGAACAATAGAGAAGAATAATAATCATGCTTTTCAAAAGCATGAAATAGATGGTGTACTTTGTATGCCTGAGAACATGACTGAACCTAACAGGTGTTATTGTTAACGAACTGCTGAGAAAACGTACTTATAGAAGCATTTTCCAAACTGTTTTTGAAATAAGGATATACCAAAAAATACTAACATGTCCCATATTTAAAAAAGGATTTAATAGTGAAATCATTTTGAGACAAACTAGGCTAAATAAATGAAAAGACATTTTTTTGGGGGGGGGGACTTTTTAAAAAAATATAAAAATGTACAAAGTATAATAAATATGAATTCACAAACCAAAAAGACAGTAACAGATTCATTTCAGGATATCTCAGATTATTTAATATTCACTGTGAATATGAGGATACATACTATTCTATGCGACCACAGCTGCGCTTCCCTCCCCCTTTTATTTTTTTAAAATAAAACTCAGGACTCTGGAACACAGTTTCTGAAACACTAGCTTATGAGATATTAGAATCATAGGAGTTGACAGAATGTCCTCATGGCCCTTGCTTCCTCTCTCTTTCCTTCTTTCCTTCCTTCCTCCCTCCCACCTGGCCATCCACCTGTTTATTTAGTTTGGGGTGAAGAGTTAGGGAGTGGCAGAGGGGAAAGGATGCCAACTCATTTCCTTGTATCTTCCACATGATTTTGTAGCCAGGACAATGTCTCTCCCCAGCTTTCCATAAATACCTCTACACCCTGTTTATAAAGTATTCTATATAGGCATTTTGGAGACCCTGACTGAAATTCTCTTGGTACTGTTAATAGCCTTAAGCAAAATGGTTCTGTGGCTGTATCTCTCTTAATCACTAAAAGATTAAATGGTTAATGATAGATGATGAGAAATAGATAAGAAAATTATCTAGTTCAGTTATAAAACATTAGTAGCACTAATAGGAAAAACCATTAGCAGAACAAACAGGAGAAAAACAAAAGAACTTTTAAAACACAGTACTTCATAGAGGGATAGGTCATATGATATTGTTTATACTGAATTGTGATGCTTAAACGTTGGCTGAATACTACAGAAACAGGCAATATTCTATTAACACAAATATTTATTTGTCACTAAAATCTTTCAAGATAATCAAGTAAGTAATGAGTCAACATTTTTTAACCTAATAATTTTCAAAGATTTAGAAACTAGAGAATATACCACTTTCTATCACTCAACTCAGGTTATATTTATAGACTACATTTCAATTGAATTTACTCACATAAGTCTAGAGTACCAAATTAAAACAACTTTCATAACCAGTTTTAGCCATCCAGAAGTTGTGGAGAGCACAAATAAAACAATGATGTGAAAAATACCTAAAAATAAACTATGGAAAATTACATTAAGTTATAGGTATACTCACCCCACATTCATAACACTTAGATTTATCAAAGTAGTTTCGTCTTCTAATGAACTCAGCTGCTCTTCCATTGTCAATAGCAATGCTTGCTTTTATCACCCTACCAAATAACTAAACCAAAGAAAAAGGTCAATGCAGAAGGATGTATTCACTGAAACCTAATACTATAGTCATTTGATCCCATTTCCTCAACCCTTTAATTCCACTTTATATTTTACATTATTTTAGCAATTGCCTACTTAGGTGTGACAAATTCTATCCCATAGATTCTTACTCCTTAGAGTGTACCAATGTTTTAGGAACCCCGTACAGTTTTGGCTTCTTTTCTTTTCCATCAGTTAATGCCCTCAGAATATCTTGATATCCAGCAGACTTGACCACTTACTACATCCCCACATTTTTGGCCTGGATAAGCACAGAGGCTTTGGGTTAAAAACCTCGTTGGGAATGAATGACTTACCTGTTTGTTGTTTATTGCCCTGGTACAGTTTTGTGCAGAGTCTTTGTCCAAAAATAAAATAAATGCAACACCTTTACTTTTCCTGGTATCTTTATCTTTCATTATAGTAACCCTTAAAGCATAAACAGAGAGTATAAAATAATGAGGCAGTGATAAATAAAAAAGCTATTAATAATAACTTGGAAAACTCAAGTGTTCAAAAAGGATTAATAGAACATTGACAGATTAAGAAATTAATACATTTAATACTAGCTCTCTCTTCAAACTCATGGTAAATCAAGAATGCGAGTGAGAAGGTGTGATACTGATTTAACACTAGTGAACACAGGTAGGATTAGGAGTCTCTGATAAATCAAACTGTAATCAAAAGCTTAAGGATGAAGTAGAGATTACAAAGATAACAGTATCTTGAAGAATAAGCCTAATTCCTCTTCTCTATTAATACTCAGTAGAAAAAACAAACAAAACGGAGGTATTCTTTTCTACACAAAATGTATAATGACTTATTTTTTCTGGGTTTTAGACTCTAACTATATTCTTAAAATTCTTTTTAAGAATTTCCAGCTCTGTGGCTCTTAGCCATACCATCCAAAGTACCTAAGTGATAGGGATGGTGGTAAGAGCACAGTCCGCTCTTTCTCCAGATCCCTACACGTCCTTAGTCCTTCTGACCCTTGTCGTCATGTGTCATTAAATATAGTGTAAAAACAGTGTTCGACAGGTCAGTGTGGAGAAATGGCTGATTCCAAGGCTGGGAGAGGGAGATATGAGGTGAACTATTTTAATTAGAAATACTTTCTCCTCCTTTCTGCTGGGCTCTACGGAACTCTATATAAAACCATGCCTCATCTCATGTATTTTAATAACAACTCCTTTAAGGTTGTCTCTGTTAATCCTAGTTCAATATGTTAAAGCCATAAAATAGATACAAATGGGAAAGTAGTTTTTCAAAAGAGTGCATCTATCTGTTACCCATGTAGTCATTTGGTCACTCAATTAGCCGCAAGTCCAGGCATTAAATACTGATAATATAAAGGGAGTAAGACAATGTCACTCCCTCATTTAAAAGTCTGCAATGGATCCCTGGTGTTCTTAGTATGAAAACCAACTATCTTGTAACATGGCCAAGAAGCAAGAGTAGAAACCTGCTTCCATCTCTGGGCTCACCTTGGTATTTTTCCCTCTTGCTCACTCACTTCTAAGTCATATTGGCCTTCTTTCTGTTTCATGATCTTACTTTCTCTTGCCACAGGGCCTTTGCACAAGCTATTTCCTCTACCCAAAATGTTTCTTTCATTCTTTCTGCCTACTTAACTCTTACTTAGACTTTAAAATTCAACTCAAAGGATACTGACTTAAGTAAATCTACCCTGACTATTTAGACTAGATCAGGTCTTCCCTGTTTGTAGCTGCTTATAACTCTGTCTTTAACTTCATAGCATTTTCATGCTTTATAATTATATGTTTGTATGAACATTCATTTGGAACTTCTGACAGAGAGGGACAAAATAAGAAAAGGTAATGGTAGGGTTAAGGGAGTAGACTCTGGAATCAAACAGACTGTTGGGTTTAAATCTTGTCTCCACTGTAAACTATATAATTTACATTACTATTACATTTACAATGTAAAATATAATTTTAGGTTTACTGTGTGCTTCAGTTTTGTCATTTATAATACCAGGATAATAACAGTATTTACTTTAAAAGGTAGTTGTCAGAATTTAATGATATTAAAAAATTAGAGCAATGACTAGCATATTTATGTGCTTAATGTTATATATTATTAGATTTTTTCATTATTAGTGTTTTGATTGTTAATGACTGTTTGAAATTCTGAACACCCAAAAATTTACCTAGAAGCCTTTTTGATGATTTTTAAATACAGAAGTAACTTTAAAAGAAGTTAATCTCAGGATGCAAATGCGCTTCAACTATTTAACATCCATTTATGAAAAGTGAGGAGAAAACTTAGTCAAGATAAACAGATTCTAAATTCTTAAGATTTTAAATGATTTAAAATTTATACCAGAATATACATTGGTTATAAGATAGTTAGAATGACAGTATCTTCCTTTTACTTCTTTGCCCCGTAACATACTTAAGTGATTTAAAATAGAGAACTAAGTATGAGAACCTCAAGTTCTCTTTATCTCAGTCCCAACTGATAATATCATCCCTACCATTTCTGTATGTTTTCAGTCTTTCCAATGATATCTAAGCTTTCTATGAAGGCAGAGAGGCAGAGAATGTTTTCTATTTATCACTTTCATAAGCACTTTGCATAAGCATTAAAATTTTTTTCATTCTGCATTGTAATATTCTAAATATTTACATTTGTTTCACAAATGATAATCCACTTATAGTATACTTGATAATATACTTTCTAGTAAGAAATTATATTGTTTAAATAAATTATGACATATAAATTAATACCATGAAATCATTAAGTATGAGAATATACCTTTAAAGTACATCACATGATATTTATTATATAATGTCAAGTTAAAAGACAACAATATTGCATGTATAGAACTGCATCTCTTAAAAAACTGTTTATTTATGTTTATATACATAGGAAAATAACTTAAATATATATAAAAATGTTAACAGTGGTATTTTTATTTGCTTTGTTATACCAAATAGTGTTTTGTAAAAAAGTTAATCTATTTCCATTATAAATAAATGGAGAAGTAAATTCAGATAAATTTTTATATTTGATCTTAGCTGAAAGGCCAAGAAGTTATATATCTAGATAAACAATTTTTTTTAATCCTCACGCGAAGAGATGTTTCCATTGCTTTTTAGAGAGGAAGGGAGAGAGTTACATCAATGTGAGAGAGAAACATCAATTGGTTACTTCTCATATGCATCCTAACCAGAGATTGAACCCACAATGTAGGTGCATGCTCTGACCGGGAATTGCCCCCGCAACCCCTTGGTGTATAAGATGACACTCCAGTCAACTGAGCCTCGGAGCCAGGGCCAGACAAACTTTTAAATGAAGTTTCAAAATTTGATGTGAATACTTACTTTACAACTTTGCCATACTTAGAAAATATCTGAAACAAAATAACACAGTAATTTTCAATTCAATTTAAAATCACACAAAAACATTACATTTATAGGTTGCATACACTGACATTTTTTGTTAGAGTTTACGAAAATTTTATCCTTTAGTCTATAAAGCAGGCTCTAGAAGATATATACATATATTTTAGTGACTAGAATAGTATTCTTAATTGTTGTTATTGGAGTCACAATAGATATCTGTCTCAGTTCCTAAATTTCTGACAAATGAGTACATAGAGAGGAAAAAAAACACTCCTCACGTGTGATAGAGTGAAGACACACACATGCTCTTTTTCCTCTTCACCCTAAGCAATCTCACCTATTCCTTCATTTCAGCCACTACCTACTAGTATATACTAATAGTTCCTATTATATAATGCTTTTTAGAAAAGCCTTTTAGAATAGATTAATATATGCAATCAATAATAATAAATTTAGAGTTGTACGATTAACTTGTATAATGCTGGAATGTGATATAATTGGATCGCAGTGTTAGCCACACTGAATTCTGAAGACCAATACAGACAACTTTCCATATAACACTTTCAAAAGGCTTTTCATTTCACTCAGAGTTCCTTACCATTAACTACATAGGCCGTAAAAGGCACCCCTGCATGGGCTTACCTCTGGCTGCTCCTCCTCTTCTCTCTACTTGATTTACTCTGTGCCTGAAAGGCTTATCCCCCAGATATATGCACAATTGCCTTACTTCCGTCAGGTCTTTAATGAAAAGGCATCTTTTCAATAAGGCTTCAGACCACTCATGTAAAATTTCACCTCCATTCCCAACTTAACATTTAGTAACTCTCCTTTCTGGCTCTATTTTTTCTCCCTACTACCTAACATCTTAACATTAACTTTGTATCTAACAAATAAAATCATTTAATTTTTAAATATTTCACATTGTTCATCTGTATTTATTTTGTGGATGCCAAGAGGGATTTTCATGTTTGCTGATGTGTTCCTAGTATCTCTGAGAGCGCTCAGCATACTGTTAAGTGTTCAACAAATACAGAAATGTCTCTATTTGGTAACAAGGAATGAAGCTACAGTTCATTTCCTCCTCTGTTCTTTGGGACTCAAACTATCTTAAGTAATTAGTTAAGTACTATGTGTGTCATCTATACAGCATCTCTCTACCCACACATCTACCTAAAGTAGCAGAGAGAAGAGGGCACATTTGGAAGAAAAAATTCATGTCATTTCTTCCCGTTTTTCTCAGCTACCCATCTGCAGGACAGGCTCTGCAGGAACTTTGTTCTGTGTAAGGTAAACAGGTGAAAGATGTCAGAAGGGACTTTTCCCCCCTCAATCACTTCTATCCTAAATTGAAAACAAAATTTATTAAACTGTTAAGTTTCTGCCATATATGTAAATTAAGATACACTTTCATTTTGAGATTTAGGAGATGTTTGCTTCCATCAGTCCTTGCATCCAAAACTTCCACCCCACTACCAGTTTCAAAAGCACAGTAAGCAAACAAGCAGGAAAAGTCAGCCTATCACAAGTTGTTCCTACTTCATTATGCTAGTTATGACTTCTGTGTTCATAAAGAACTTGTTATCCTCTAATAAAGCACTGTAAATTCTCTTTGGAAATTATGAGTGTCTAATTTATTTTCATTTACTCATGTTTGCAATAGAGAGCTTTGGTATTAATGGTTTAAGTGCACTGCAATGTACTTATTGAGCATTTTTGCCAAGGAGGACTGTTCGCTTGAGCTACAACTGTTTCTCAAATAGAGAATTCAGAACATAACAGTACTAATACTAAAACTTACTTACCCGATATAAGTCATTGTTGGTTAGGGAGAAGGGCAAGTTGGATACATACACTGTGCTTTTACTTGGGGCCAATCCACCACTCATTTCTAAAAAAGGAAAACGAATAGACCCAAAAGCAATCTAAGCCAACGTATTCTTCATTCCAAGTAAAACCAATACAGGCAACCATTAATTTAATTATGCCAGGTTCATACACCTTCCTTACTTTGTAGTAATAGTTAAGAACAATGACTCCAGGTGGGCGAATTAAGGAATTCCTTTTCTCCAGACACCACTTAAAACAGATTTTTGGTCCTATTGCAAATAGATTCTTCACGCTAACTCTTTCATGGACTATGGTGTGAATGGAGAGGTGAGTTTGAAAGATGAAGGGAAAGCTCTGAAGTTACTCTTAACCTTCCCTAAGGCTAAGAGCAAAAGTACTTTCAAATACGCATAATATGTTGCATACACACTGCAGAAAGAGCCTGGTATCTCAGAATGAACCTAAGCTATTGATTTTCCACTAATACTATGGTTGGATACCTTTTTGGTTGTCTTAGTATTTTTTTTTCTGGAGTGGTATTAAGAGGAAATTTTAGCCCCACATTCTGATGCGCATAAAGCTCTTTCAAATCTCTAATTTTGCAGACTAGTGCTAAACTATGAAATGACACATTATACGAATACGTTTCAATGCCTTCCTTATATGTATTTTTAAGTTTACAAACATAATCTGTAATTTTCACATTGTGCTTTACAAGTCCGCAAATTATTTGAAAATTGTGACTGGCTAAACCAAGTTCAAATTTTTCAATTTAAAAAATGTGTGATATGTATTTAAGAAGTGAGTACAGACTATCACAAATAGCAAAATATTGATTAGAAGGCGTGTCAATTCGCGAAATAATAGGAAAACTGCTTGATAGCTGGGATGCTTTGGGGGAGTTTATTGGACAACTTCGGAAACTCAAGAGCGATAGGTCGCTTTTGAAGAGTTTCCCACTTGAAACTCTACACGTTAGCCGTTTTGTTCAGGATGTGAAGTCAGCCAACGGTAAAGGCCCTGGAATAAAACGGGTGGCCGGAGGAAGGGCTTGTAGTTTCGCCTGAGGGTCTGGGGAGGGGCCCGCAGGAGGAAAGGCCGCAGCTGGGCAGGCGTTTACCTTCAGGTGGGGCGGGCCGGGGAGATCGGAAGAGCGTGAGCCCCGGGCTCAGTTGGGGCTCAACCCCGACTATTCCTCGCCCCACGCAGTGGCCTTGGCATCACGGGTACTGGGAAGGGTCAGGCAACGCAGACAACAAGGTAGTTGCAGCAGGCAAAGCCGCTTCCCGGCTCTCGACAGACTCAAGCGCCGGGGGCGGGCCCAGAGGCGGGCGCTTTTGCTGACGTCTTCCGCGCGCCGGAAGTGCCCGCCTGGAAAACGGCGACGAGCGGGCTACCACATTTACGGTGTCTCCCGGTGGCCCATAATTGGTGAGCGTGTTTTACCTTTGTGAGAGGTGGACTGGGACACGGGAGACTAGCGGGGTGGCGGTTGGCGGGCAGGCGTTTTCCGTGGCGGGACTTGGAGTCTTCCGCTGCATTTGAATTGTGCAACAGTTATGCCTCTGCGGTTGAGGGTGGACAGACGCAGTGGAGTTGGAATACGGGCAAGTGTTAACTCTGAGATGTAGTTCGCCTCTCTTTAGCTCCTTAGTGTGCAAAAAGGGGACGGAATTAGGTAACTTAAATGCCCCCAGATCAGTTAGGAAGTCGGTAAATACACTGAATGTGTTCGACGTACTCAGGTTGGTATTAGGCACTTTGAGAACTATAAAAAAGTGTAAAACAGACATTTTTCTGGCGGATATCTTAATTTAGTAGGGGAGACTTGGATTCAGGAATGACTTATCTTGAGTGTTGGCATGGACAAATGTTGAACTTCTTGGTATCTTTTTTCTTCCTGTAAGTCTATAATGGGCACACATTGCTTTTTTTCGAAGAGGCTGTATGCAGACCCATCATTCCTACAAAAAAAAATCAGAAAATAATGTAAGGTAGTTTATACTTAACTTCTACCCACCAGCACACACAGACCAGGCCTCTAGCCACTCCATGGGAGCCTGCGTGCCAGCAGCCTGGAACCCAGAGCCGTTTCTGGAGCCTGCACAATCCAGACTGAAGCCGATGTGTTACACAGACACCGAAGTGCAATCCATCCAGGACACAGCTGAATTTTGAGAGGCCTGAATGCCTCTGCGTCTACCAGGGGACCGCTGGGACTAATTCTCCTGGCAAACTTGTGGCCAGCCAAAACTACCATGCTTCACATCCCCGTTATCCTTGGTTACCGCCCAAGATGTAAGCCCCTTTGGTCTTCTATGCTACTACACCCTCATACCCATGCTGCTTTGTGCTTTCTTGCCCTTGATTCAGTCTGTCACTGCTTCTCTCTCCTTTTTTTTTTCTACATTTCACCCTTCAACACAGCTGTGCTCTCTGAAACCTCTATTCCTTCCTTAATGAACTTTTTTACATAATCAGTCACTTTATGGACATTCTCTTTCATCTCCTGACCTTAACACTGGGCTTTTCCCTCCAGCCCTTTCAGTTGAGCCTTTCTGTGACACCTGCTGTAAGGTGGGGCAAAGGCTTTGCCATATTGAACTGATTTCGATTCCCCAAATACTGTGTCTTCCTTCAGGGTTTTTGCAAAGGTTCTTTTCTCTCTCTGTGGCGTTTGTTTTTCCTGACCTCTTTCTTGATAATTTCTGTGCCTTCTAAAGATTAGTTTAGGTGTCTCTTTGAGGGGTGTTCCTTGACTTCTTGTAGGTAGAATTAGATACCCTAGCCATCACAACACTTATCTCATGTATCCTAATTGCGTGTCTCTTTGCTTTTCTGACTAAGGTAGGCTGTGGGGGCGGGGGGACTGTATTTTTGTTTGTTTATTTTTGTTGTTGATTTTTGTAATTCCAGTGCCTGATAAATGGTCAGGTGTTTCTTGAATGATTGCAGTGCTGCAGGTACAGTCTCAGAAGTCAGGCACTTAACTGTCATCTCCTGACTTTAAGATAATAAAAACCATTCAGAAAGGGTCATCTGCTCCTCAGCTACAGTTCATTGTGGCAGTGTGACTATATGATCCCAGTGTTGCCAGAGCATCTAATTTTTTCCAAGGAAAGTTGGAAATACAGGTTATTTTTTAAAAAGTGGCATTTCCCAGTCTTTAAGTTTTGTCAATGGGATAACATTGTATTAATTTCAAATATGGCCTATTAGTCACCAGTTTGAACTCTGTTTTAAGTGTTCTAGGGTTTAGAAATGGGCTTTATGGGGAATAATAAATTTTGAACTGGGCCTTGATAGATGGTTGGAATTGAATGAGAGAATTGAAAGAGGTATTCCAGCTTGAGAAATAAATCAGACAACTTCAGGGCAGTGTGTGTTACTTTGTGGCACAGTGAGAAGGCTGGCATGAATGATCCTTTTGGAGTAAACGAGGTTAAGTGAAATGATGAGGGGGCATATGGAGGGCACAAAAGCTTGGATTTGTTATAGTTACTAAGAAACTATTTGGATTCTTGATCAGGAAAACTTCAGATATGATGTACTAGCAAATCGAATTGAGAGTCTTTTTTTAAGGGTAAAATGGAGAGTAAAAGACTGGAAGGAGGCTGACCAATTAAGACTAACCTCTATCTAGATGTGAAATAAGACTTAGATTTGTAAATATTATATATAAGCAAACATCTGGTATTTTTGTTGACTTGTGTAATTTTAGTTATTTGATCACTACATTGGACAATCAAGAGTCATTTATAAGTATTTAATACAGTATGGTGGGTCTTATAAAAGACGTATCTTTACAGCAAGTAACTTGTAAAACTGGTAGAGAATGCAGTGCTTTGACATTGCTCAGTCATGTGGTTCATTATGAAGCTGTCAGTGGTCTCCTTTTCTCTAACTTCTTTCTCTTTTATTCCATCTTGGTACTGCCAAAATAATTTTCTGGAATATTTTTCTCTCACCCTATAGTTAGTCTTAAAAGCCTGCAGTGAACTCTTCTAGTTTTTTTTTTTTTTTTTGGTGTGTTGTGCCATTTAATGCCCTTGAATTTGTTCTCTCTGTCTCTCCCTGTTTTGTTTGTGAAGCAGTGTGACATGATGAAAAGGGCTTGGGCTTCAGAATCATGCAGGCGCCAGTATGATTCAAAGCTCGATTTGGCTCTGGACTTTGTGCTTCAGTGTCTCCATGTTTTCTCTGGAATGGGAGGGATACACCCACATCAGGAGGCAGTGAAGGCTTCTTGAGTACCCATGTGGGGCTATTTCCTACTCCTTTGCAGTGTGCATATTCTGCTCTTTTCAGTTCCATCTTTCTCATGTACATGTTTTCTTCCCTAATTCCTTTCCCTTTTCTTGTGTTCTTTTCACTGTTGCTTATCCACATTTAGGCAATCTCTCAAGATTCTGTTTAAATTTTCTTGGTTTTCTTAACTGTCTGCACTTATCTTTCCCTGAGCTTTGAATGGTGATTAATTCTAGTAGATACTTTGCTGCTGTATTTTGCTCTTTTTAATTGGTATCAGTGTTAGTTTTTTTCCATGGACCTTAAATATATTTTAATATTTATTTTTAATTAACTTGTCTGGAATTTTAAACATTTTCCAATTAAAATAGTATTATGTAGGTTCTAGGTTCAAGACAGCCCTTAAAAGCTTCTTGTTTCAATTTAGTATGTTAGGAATATGTTTACCTTGCTTTAAATCAGTGGATTTCATTCTGAGATAAGACTTTTAAAAAGTGCCAGTGTTTCACCCCAGGTTAATTATATAGGGATTTCATAGGATAAGGCCTAAGCATTGGTATTTTTAAAAGCTCTTTAGATGGTTCTAATATGCAGGCAGGATTGAGAATCTCTGCTTTGGGTGCTAGAGCTAAGGATTCTCATTGGTACCTTTCACTTAAAAATGAAATGCCACTAGTGTCATGAAAAGTGTGATAGGAACCATAATCTAATAGTGCTCATTGGAAGTTTTCTGAATAATTAAAAAGTACAAAGTAATATTAATGTTTTCCAAAATGGCTCATGTGGTGGTCATGAATATCATGCTTACTTATTTGGCCAATATTTAGTAAGTACCTTTGCTAAGCAACGAGAGTAAGAGAGGTGCACAGTGATTGCCTTTGCGGTGGTGTTTGGTTTTGGAAGGCGAAGAAAAAAAACGTAGATTGAATATGATATTATATAGTACTGTTATAGCAGGGTGCTTTAAGAAGCCCAAAGAAGGAATGACTTTATTCTTTCTAAAGCGTATAAGAAACACAACAATGCAAAGTCTATAAGGCAGAGCGAAAGCAGTCCTAAGAGGGAAAGTCATAGCATTATTGGTTTACCTCAAGAAAAATCTCAAATAAATTATCTAACTTTACACTTAAATGAACTAGAAAAGGAAAAACAAATAAAGCCCAAAGTGAGTAGAAGGAAGGAAATAATAAAGATCAGGGTACAATTAAATGAAATAGAGTCTTAAAAAAAAAACAGTACAAAAGATCAATGAAAATAAGAGCTTGTTCTTAGAAAAGGTAAACAAGACTGACGGACCTTAACCAGACCCTTAAAGAAAAAAAGACAGAGGACCCAAATAAATAAAATCAGAAATGAAAGAGGAGAAGGAACAACTGACACCAAAGAAATTGTAAGGATTGTGAGAAAAGATTATGAACAACTTATGCCAACAAATTGGACAATCTAGATGAAATGGATAAGTTCCTAGAAACATACAATCTTCCAAAACTGAATCTGGAAGAATCGCAAAATCTGAATAGACAGATTACAACTAATAAAATTGAAGCAATAATCAAAAAACTCCCAACAAACAAAACTCCTGGGCTGGAAGGCTTTACAGGTAAATTTTACCAAAAATTCAAAGACCTAACAATACCTATCCTTCTCAAACTATTCCAAAAAATTCAAAAGGAGGGAAGACTCCCAAATTCATTTTATAAGGCCAGCAGTATTTTAATTCCAAAACCAGATAAAGACATTACAAAGAGGCCCTGGCTGGGTAGGTCAATTGGTTAGAGCATTGCCCCAATATGCCAAGGTTGTGGGTTTGATACCTGGTCAGGGCACATATCAACCAATGAGTGCATAAATATGTGGAACAACAAATTAACATTTCCTTTTCACTCTCCCTTTCCCTTCCCCCCTTCTCTTAAAACAATAAATAAAATATTTAAAAAATACTACAGAGAAAGAAAATTATAGGCCAATATCTCTGATGAACACAGGTGCTAAAATCCTCAACAAAATATT